AATAGCTGCAAGCAGACGTAGACAGTTTTTTTTTTATTCTTATACCAAGTAACAGACTATGCATTCATTGTTTCTAGAAACGTACGTATATGAGTACGTAGTATGTCAATGTTGACACAGGATCCCTTAAAAGTAAAATTTCAAGTGGTTCATTTAAAAAAAAGTGAGATATACAAAATTTTATGTTCGAAGAAAAAATAGTGAACTGAAAGAACAAAAATGTTGTCTCCTGCTGCTGTTTTACTTATTTTTTATATAAGGGTATATGCACACTGTCTATTGTATCTATCGTCTATGAACTGAAATGTGTTTTTATTATTAGTTTTTTAGAATTGTTCTTAATGTTGACATATTTGAAGGTGTAAATGGTTGAAATGAGGGATAGGAATATATATATGCGCAAACATGCCCATTGCTTATCATGTAACTACTTTTGTTTTTGTTTTTTTTCTGTTTAAATGAATTTTTTTTTTCTCTTCGTTCAAATTATTATATATATATTTCTATTTAATTTAATTGTATAATCGTGACAGTTCTGATTTTTTTTTTTTCTCCTCATCTTTTTCCTCTTGATTATGCCATTATAAACAAAAATGATATGAAAAAAAATATGAAAAATAATTATCAATATATATTAAAACAAAGATTATATATACCTCCTATTGTGTATTGATCAATGATGTGGACAATGAATCATCACCATTCTTGTTTTAATAAAAATTTGATAGATTTTTAATATAAATTATATATGTATTATAAAGTTTGTTATCAGTACCACCAGCAAATAATAAAGGTAAGCATAATTGTTCTTCTATGGATTCTATTTAATTAATCTATATGATATTAGTATAGACCATCGTTTACACTGAACCTTTAATAAATCATATTTATTATATTATCGTTACAAAACAATCTATGAATATATAAAGTAATCAGCAGTTGTTATTTTTTCATAATTAACATTATGTTTCTTTTCAGTTCATAATCTTTCATTCTCATAAATGTTTACCTACCTTCATGGTTTATTTGTTTGGAAGCATTTTATTTGCAAGAAGTTGTATTTCTAAATTAAGATCACAAAAAGTAGTAGTGAAAACTGAACCATCTACAAACATTGAATAGAAAATTTCTCAAATTAGCAAAATCACTCGGTTTTTAGAAATTCGTTATCTGATGAATGATCTAGTAAAGCTTTATTCTATATCCTTTATCCGATTATGGACACACTACAGAAATTTTTTTTTCCTACGTAAAACATTTAGATCCGCCAAATCGTTGAGTAAAACGATAAAACCGCCTAATTTATAAAGAATATAAAAAGCAGAGTATTGACTTTACAAATCAATGCGAGTTTTAGTATAAAATATACGAGTTTTCATTATGAATCTCATATCTTCTATAGATATGTGATGTACAATAACCACCTACGTTCAACTACAGTTCTTTTCTCTTTCTTTCTTTCTTTCTTTCTTTCCTTATACAACTTCAGTACAGAAAAATCATCAAACTCATCTCACGCTCTATTAACATTTTCTTATTAATGGTACATCTCATTTTGTAGCCTCTTGAGCACTGTATTTATTTGTTCAATTGTAACCAGGTAAATAATATCCGTTACTACTGTTACTCGATAAATGACTGGGTGCTTCTTCATAAAATATTTGTAATATGGCACTTGTTAACAGTGTTCAACGTATCGATTGATAATTTTCTTCTAACGCTTTCTTCAACGTATTCATTTACGCATAGTTACCTCTAAAAATGAACAAAAATAAATAAATAAAATGAACAATTATCTCAATATATAAGTATCATATTTATTTATAGCTGAAAAAAATTCATTTAATGTTGTATCTGTTATCAATGTTTTATATAATTTTAATTTAGTTTTTGGATAATAATGTATGTAATTCACACACATTTCATCGTGTATCGAATAACCATCCTCAGTCATACCCTAGTAAAAATCTTAGACACTTCTTAAAATTATCTTACTAAGACCTTATCCTTTAAGATTTAAAAACTTTTCAGTGAATCTCGAATGAATATTATTTACAAAACGTTATCGTTCTTACTATTAAGATCCTAACGCATTCTTATCCAATCTTGAAAAAGTCTCAGACAGTATAATCTTAGTAAGATCTTAGAATAATCTTATTAAGATCTCTTACATGTGTCTTATCTTATCAAATCTTAGAATTTTCGGGTCTCACGACGTTAGTAAGATTTGTTTAAGATCTTAAACAAATGTAAGCGAAATCTTACTAAGACCTTAATAAGATTTTTCTTAGATCTTCGTAAGCTTCGAATAAGTTTTTCACTAGGGTATTAGAACGATGTTAAGTATCATAGATACCTGTATAAAGAATTGTATCACTCATTGAAAAATCTTAACTGCTTCTTGGAGTATACGAATTTCTTGAAAATGTAGACTATACTGTTGATCAAAATTCAATATAACAACAAATTCATCATTATTATCACGTATAGTACGAGCGAATAATTATACACCAATCATACTTGTAATACCTTCTTGTGATAAATCAACTTTTGTACATGAATCCAAACAATAGCTGGACAAGGGAAATGCTTTCATGCCTGATGAAATAGAACTTTTTGAATTATATTCAAGTCCCAATTCCATTATAGCTGCGTTATTAGGTTATCGAACTCGTGTATAATAATGTCGAATACCCGATTGATCAATAATACCAGTTCTTATAGTTGGTTTATAAAAATGTACTTCTTATACAACATATTTCAAATAATTTTTACCATCAATTATTTCACCAGTTTCCGGTGAATAACTAAAATTAGCTGTTCCAAATGTCCATGCGCCAATAACACGATGACATTTCATTAAATCCATTGGTTTTCGTTCTGTTGTCCACCATTTATTGTATTTTGGTATCTCATGATTCGTTGGTACGTTACAATGATATAATTCCATATGATGAACAATATCTTCACTTTGTGATGAGATGATACCATCAGAACGAATTATATGATGAGAATAATCAACAATATCGGCGTTCAATTCCAATTGTGTACACCCATAAATTGTTGCAACATATAGAATAGGAATATTTAAATTTAAAAAATCTTGATATAATTTATCATTAGATATTAATCATGGGGAGATTTTGTTAAAGTTTCGCGACGTTGGATTTGTACAGTTGCAAGATCAAATGTGTGATCATGAATGAACTTTCTATAATTTCACACGCGGTCACAAGCAAGAATTTTCTTTCAGGTGTGTCCATACATCGTTTTACGACTTTCACTGGTGACCATGTGCGAAAAATATCACGCGTAGTCACAAGTAAAATATATTTTTTACGTGCGCTCACATACCATTTTATGATGTTCATGTGCACGCGATACTTACTTTATGTTTTAACAATTGTATTTATTGCAAATCTATCTATCTAATTAAAGTGATGATCGATTTTGTTTTATTTCATGTCATTGTTTTTGATAAACTTTTCCTGATTGAATATGTACTGTTCTTTGTTCAATAAGAACATCATGTTTATTACATGTATCCAATGGTCGTCTAAGTTGAAAAATATTTTGTTTTCATTTTTTCTTTATTGTTTGACATTTAACTGAATATTGGATACTTTTATCATTATCATGTAATTAAACTTTCTTCATCTGTAAAAGCATCATAGACAAAATATCTTTTTCATCCAATATGAGAAGACCAGCATTCATTCTATAGTAATTAT